CCATAGTGAAGTCTTTGGTCTTTAATCTTCATCAGTAAGTGCTTCAAGTCTTCTTCACTTTAAGCAAGCAAGGTTGTGTCATCTGCATATCGCAGATTGTTAACGAGTCTTCCTCCAATCCTGATGCCATGTTCTTCTTCATATAGTCCAGCTTCTCGGATTATGTGCTCAGCATACAGATTGAATAGGTATGGTGAAAGGATACAACCCTGACACACACCTTTCCTAACTTTAAACCACGCAGCATCCCCTCGTTCTGTTTGAACAACTGCCTCTTGATCTATGTACAGGTTCCTCATGAGCACAATTAAGTGTTCTGGAATTCCCATTCTTCACAATGTTACCCATAATTTGTTATGATCCACACAGTCAAATGCTTTTGCATAGTCAGTAAAACACAGGTAAACATCTTTCTGGTATTCTCTGCTTTCAGCCAGGATCCATCTGACATCAGCTATGATATCCCTTGTTCCATGTCCTCTTCTGAGTCTGGCTCGAATTTCTGGCAGTTCTCTGTTGATGTACTGCTGCAGCTGCTTTTGAATGATCTTCAGCAAAATTTTGCTTACGTCTGATATTAATGATATAGTTCAAGATTTCCACATTTGGTTGGATCACCTTTCTTGGGAATACGCGTAAATACGGATCTCTTCCAGTCTGTTGGCCAGGTAGCTATCTTCCAAATTGGCATAGACAAGTGAACTCTTCCAGCGCTGCCTCCATTTGTTGAAACCTCTCAGTTGGTATTCCCTCAATTCCTGGAGCCTTGTTTTTCGCCAATGCCTTCAGTGCAGCTTGGACTTCCTCCTTCAGTACCATAGGTTCTTGATCATATACTACCTCCTGAAATGATTGAATGTCGACCAGGTCTCTTTGGTATAGTGACTCTGTATTCCTTCCACCTTCTTTTGATGCTTCCTATGTCATTTAATATTTTCCCCAGAGACTCCTTTAGTGTTGCAACTCGAAGCTTGCATTTTTTTCTTCAGTTGTTTCAGCTTGAGAAATGCTGAGCGTGGTCTTCCCTTTTGGTTTTCTAACTCCGGTTCTTCGTACATGTCATTATAATACTTTACTCTGTCTTCTTAAGCTGCCCTTTGAAATCTTCTGTTCAGCTTTTTTACTTCATCATTTCTTCCTTTTGCTTTAGCTACTTGATGTTCAAGAGCAAGTTTCAGAGTCTCTTCTGACATCCGTCTTGGTCTTTTTTTTCTTTCCTGTCTTTTTAATGATGTCTTATTTTCTTCACGTATGTTGTCCTTGATGTCATTCCACGACTCATCTGTTCTTTAGTCATTAGTGTTCAGTGCGTCAAATCTATTCTTGAGATGGTCTCTAAATTCAGGTGGGATATACTCAAGGTCGTATTTTGGCTCTCGTGAACTTGTTCTAATTTTCTTCAGTTTCAACTTGAACTTGCATATGAGCAATTGATGGTCTGTTCCACAGTAGGCCCCTGGCCTTGTTCTGATTGATGATATTGAGCTTTTCCATGGTCTCTTTCCATAGATGTAGTCAATTTGATTCCTGTGTGTTCCATCTGGCGAGGTCCACGTGCATAGTCACCGTTTATGTTGGTGAAAAAGGTATTTGCAATGAAGAAGTCATTAGTCTTAAAAAATTCCATCACGTGATCTCCGACGTCGTTTCTATATAGCAAGGCCATATTTTCCAACTACTGCTCCTTCTTTGTTTCCAACTTTTTCATTCCTGTCACCAGTAATTACCAGTGCATCCTGACTGCATGTTCGATCAATTTCAGACTGCAGAAGTTGGTAAAAAATCTTCAGTTTCTTCACCTCTGGCTTTAGTGGTTGATGTGTAAGTTTGAATAATAGTCGTATTAACTGGTCTTCCTTGTAGGCGTATGGATATTATCCTGACAGTGTTGTACTTCAAGATAGATCTTGAAATGTCTTTTTGACAATAAATGCAACACCATTTCTCTTCAAATTGTCATTCCCAGCATAGTAGACCATATGATTTGTCAGATTCAAAATGGCCAGTACCAGTCCATTTCAGCTCACTAATGCCTAGGATATCAACATTTATGCGTTCCATTTCATTTTTGATGAGTTCCAATTATCCTAGATTCATACTTACATTCCATGTTCCAATTATTAATGGATGTTTGCAGCAGTTTCTTCTCATTTTGAGTCGTGCCACATCAGCAAATGAAGGTTCTGAAAGCTTGACTCCATCCATGTCATTAAGGTCAATTCTACTTTGAGGATGCAGCTCTTCCCCAGTCATATTTTGAGTGCCTTCCAACGTGAGGGGCTCATCTTCTGGCACTATATCAAACAGTGTTCCACTACTATT